ACAAACAGTCAATTCTCCTCTTTTTCGAAAATGACGATTTAGCATAAACATGTCAATGATACGCATTCCCTTTCCAGTCCCTATCAGGCAAATAAAGCCAAAATATTAAAAAGCACAGACTTGACATATACAAGGGTTATTAATGAGCGTTAAAGCGTATATTGTACGTTTTCTGGGTGAGATTAGTCACTACACAGAACAGACAAACGTGCACAGACACAAATTATACCTTGGGAGCATCAATACGTGGTTTCAATACGTGCTTTTCATATATTTTCGGTTTGTACCACTTGAAAATACATTGTGACTTGTTTCAGCATTTTCAGTCGCATGACTACACTTCGGATTAATATTTGTCGGTTTTGAAGTGGATGAAAGAAAGAATGCTTTCAAACTTGATTTAGCGGTCGGATAAATCTATAAGATCAACCTCATGTATTGGTGCATTTCAGGCAGTGATGCTCGTCTGATATATCAGATCAATATCACATATTAAGGCAACGACTTTGGGCTATTGTCATCAACACCAATCAAACCTCTGGTTATGTTTCATAATTCAAATTACCTTTGAGGAATAATCAAACAAATATGGACATCTTGAGGGAAACACATTCAAAAGACTCATATAGTCAAGACTGACTGGCAATAATGACTTTGGAACGAAGAACAAGAGTGGTGTATAGCATTGGGTTGTCAGTACGTGAAGACACAAATTTCAAAGCCATCAATGGCATCCAAACATCCTATATTGTATTCTTCTTCAAAATGTATGTGCACATCAGTTTTCACTTCGAAACTATTCAATTTGGTCTTTAGTGGAGACTAAGATGTCTTATTTTAAGTGTATTAGAAGATCTAACAAGAAGGAATTGAAGGTATAAGAGAAGAGGGTAGTTTTATCATGCACTTGATTACATGTATACATGAGTACTTAGTGATAAAACAAGGCAAATGCATTGCATATCCTTGTAATAACTGCATTAAACAAAACTATCGTTTCATACAGTAGAATCATATTTGACTATCAGTTTGAAAACTCTGTTATTTGGGTTCGAGTTACAAGCACGTGTAGTATTCTTTTATATCACATTACGACACATTTGTAACTTCAAATTGGAATCATTTGGAGAGAAATACATCTGCAACTCCACTACACACATTTGTGATATCTGTCTGTTCAAAGAGCAGTCGAGAGATCATTTGGAGTAATATGTTGCAATTCTTTGAATATCGCAGAGCAAGATATCAGGTCTGAATAGCTTTTCTTTTATGCCATAGGCCTCCCCACAAAAACAACACAAATGCTAAAGTATCAAACGAACACGTGTTTATGGCTGTTATGTGAGACACCAGAGCTAAGATTAATACTGTTTCTACAAATGGGATGAGCTGGGTTGTTAGTTTCTTTTATAAAAGTGTTTTTCCTAGTATGTATGTCCATCAACACAACGTAACATCACACAACTCTCAACATTCCATAAGGTAACCATGGCAATCATCCCCAATACAAACAGTCAATTCTCCTCTTTTTCGAAAATGACGATTTAGCATAAACATGTCAATGATACGCATTCCCTTTCCAGTCCCTATCAGGCAAATAAAGCCAAAATATTAAAAACAGACTTGACATATACAAGGGTTATTAATGAGCGTTAAAGCGTATATTGTACGTTTTCTGGGTGAGATTAGTCACTACACAGAACAGACAAACGTGCACAGACACAAATTATACCTTGGGAGCATCAATACGTGGTTTCAATACGTGCTTTTCATATATTTTCGGTTTGTACCACTTGAAAATACATTGTGACTTGTTTCAGCATTTTCAGTCGCATGACTACACTTCTGATTAATATTTGTCGGTTTTGAAGTGGATGAAAGAAAGAATGCTTTCAAACTTGATTTAGCGGTCGGATAAATCTATAAGATCAACCTCATGTATTGGTGCATTTCAGGCAGTGATGCTCGTCTGATATATCAGATCAATATCACATATTAAGGCAACGACTTTGGGCTATTGTCATCAACACCAATCAAACCTCTGGTTATGTTTCATAATTCAAATTACCTTTGAGGAATAATCAAACAAATATGGACATCTTGAGGGAAACACATTCAAAAGACTCATATAGTCAAGACTGACTGGCAATAATGACTTTGGAACGAAGAACAAGAGTGGTGTATAGCATTGGGTTGTCAGTACGTGAAAATACAAATTTCAAATCCATCAATGGCATCCAAACATCCTATATTGTATTCTTCTTCAAAATGTATGTGCACATCAGTTTTCACTTCGAAACTATTCAATTTGGTCTTTAGTGGAGACTAAGATGTCTTATTTTAAGTGTATTAGAAGATCTAACAAGAAGGAATTGAAGGTATAAGAGAAGAGGGTAGTTTTATCATGCACTTGATTACATGTATACATGAGTACTTAGTGATAAAACAAGGCAAATGCATTGCATATCCTTGTAATAACTGCATTAAACAAAACTATCGTTTCATACAGTAGAATCATATTTGACTATCAGTTTGAAAACTCTGTTATTTGGGTTCGAGTTACAAGCACGTGTAGTATTCTTTTATATCACATTACGACACATTTGTAACTTCAAATTGGAATCATTTGGAGAGAAATACATCTGCAACTCCACTAAACACATTTGTGATATCTGTCTGTTCAAAGAGCAGTCGAGAGATCATTTGGAGTAATATGTTGCAATTCTTTGAATATCGCAGAGCAAGATATCAGGTCTGAATAGCTTTTCTTTTATGCCATAGGCCTCCCCACAAAACAACACAAATGCTAAAGTATCAAACGAACACGTGTTTATGGCTGTTATGTGAGACACCAGAGCTAAGATTAATACTGTTTCTACAAATGGGATGAGCTGGGTTGTTAGTTTCTTTTATAAAAGTGTTTTTCCTAGTATGTATGTCCATCAACACAACGTAACATCACACAACTCTCAACATTCCATAAGGTAACCATGGCAATCATCCCCAATACAAACAGTCAATTCTCCTCTTTTTCGAAAATGACGATTTAGCATAAACATGTCAATGATACGCATTCCCTTTTGTAGCTCTTATGGGCAACCAGTGTAACTGTTTTAGAATAGGGTCATGCTTGAGAATTTGGGTGCTTTGCTCACAATATGTGCCGCAATATTTTCTATGCGTTGCAGACGGTTTAAGAGCTCTTGTGGGATGTTTAAAAGCAAGCTATTACAATAGTCTATTCTGGATAGAATGAGGGAACGAACAAGGGCAGCTGTAGAACATTCAGTCAGTAGATGGCGTATTATCTTTCCACTCCCTATCAGGCAAAGAAAAGCCAAAATATAAAAAAGCACAGATTTCACAAATTTCAAATCCATCAAGGGCATCCAAACATCCTACATTGTATTCTTCTTCAAAATGTATGTGCACATCAGTTTTCACTTCGAAACTATGCTATTTGGTGTTTAGTGGAGACTAAGATGTCTTCTTTTGTCTTCTTTAAGTGTATTAGAAGATCTAACAAGAAGGACATGAAGGTCTAAGAGAAGAGGGTAGTTTTATCATGCACTTGATTACATGTATACATGAGTACTTAGTGATGAAAAAAGACAAATGCATTGCATATCCATGTAACAACTGCATTAAACAAAACTATCGTTTCATACAGTAGAATCATATTTGACTATCACTTTGAAAACTGTAATTTGGGTTCGAGTAACAAGCACGTGTAGTATTCTTTCTACATCACATTACGACCCATTTGTCACTTCAAATTGGGATCATTTGGAGAGAAATACATCTGCAACTCCGCTAAACACATTTGTAATATATGTCTGTTCAAAGATCAGACGAGAGATCATTTGGAGTAACATGTTGCAATTCTTTGAATATAGCAGAGCAAGATATCAGGTCTGAATAACATTCTTTTATGCCATAGACTTCCCCACAAAATCAACACAAATGCTAGAGCATCAAACGAACTCGTTTTCATGGCTGTTATGTGAGCCACCAGAGATAAGATTAATACTGTGTCTACATATGGGATGAGCTGGGTTGTTAGTTTCTTTTATAAAAGTGTTTTTCCTAGGATGTATGTCCATCAACAAACCGTAACATCACACAACTATCAACATTCCATAAGGTAACCATGGCAACCATCCCCAATACAAACAGACAATTCTCCTCTTTTTCTAAAATGACGATTTAGCATGAACATGTCAATGATACGCATTCCCTTTAATGACAATAATAATAATAATTAGTCCATTTGTATTGCGCTAAATCCACACCGACAGCATGCTCATAGCGCAGACAAGATAGAATTTAGGAGTCACTTGTAAAACATAGAGAAAAGGTATGTCTTTAGGTTTGCTTTGAAACATGTGACTGTTGGGCTTGTTCTAAGGTGAGCTGGTAGCTCATTCCAGTTCAACGCGGCCGCCACTTGAAAGGAACGAAAACCATAGGATTTCAACTTTCATTTTTGAATGTGAAGTAAGTTTTTGTCACTGGAGCGAAGCTGTCTGCATGGAAGATATGGTTTGAACAGTTCTTTGAGATAGCCCGGAGCAGTGCCTAGTATGCACTGGTAGACAAGGGTTAAAACCTTAAAGTTCACTGTAGCTCTTATGGGCAACCAGTGTAACTGTTTTAGAATAGGGGTCATGCTTGAGAATTTGGGTGCTTTGCTCACAATATGTGCCGCAATATTTTCTATGCGTTGCAGACGGTTTAAGAGCTCTTGTGGGATGTTTAAAAGCAAGCTATTACAATAGTCTATTCTGGATAGAATGAGGGAACGAACAAGGGCAGCTGTAGAACATTCAGTCAGTAGATGGCGTATTATCTTTCCACTCCCTATCAGGCAAAGAAAAGCCAAAATATAAAAAAGCACAGATTTCACAAATTTCAAATCCATCAAGGGCATCCAAACATCCTATATTGTATTCTTCTTCAAGATGTATGTGCACATCAGTTTTCACTTCGAAACTATGCTATTTGGTGTTTAGTGGAGACTAAGATGTCTTCTTTTAAGTGTATTAGAAGATCTAACAAGAAGGACATGAAGGTCTAAGAGAAGAGGGTAGTTTTATCATGCACTTGATTACATGTATACATGAGTACTTAGTGATGAAAAAAGACAAATGCATTGCATATCCATGTAACAACTGCATTAAACAAAACTATCGTTTCATACAGTAGAATCATATTTGACTATCACTTTGAAAACTGTAATTTGGGTTCGAGTAACAAGCACGTGTAGTATTCTTTCTACATCACATTACGACCCATTTGTCACTTCAAATTGGGATCATTTGGAGAGAAATACATCTGCAACTCCGCTAAACACATTTGTAATATATGTCTGTTCAAAGATCAGACGAGAGATCATTTGGAGTAACATGCTGCAATTCTTTGAATATAGCAGAGCAAGATATCAGGTCTGAATAACATTCTTTTATGCCATAGACTTCCCCACAAAATCAACACAAATGCTAGAGTATCAAACGAACTCGTTTTCATGGCTGTTATGTGAGCCACCAGAGATAAGATTAATACTGTGTCTACATATGGGATGAGCTGGGTTGTTAGTTTCTTTTATAAAAGTGTTTTTCTTAGGATGTATGTCCATCAACATCACACAACTCTCAATATTCCATATTGACAACCATCCCCAATGCAAACAGACATTTCTCCTCTATTCCTAAAATGACGATCCAGCATGTACATGTTAATGATCCGCATTCCCTTTCCAACCCCTATCAGACAAAACAAAAAGCCCCAATATACCAAGGCACAGACTCGACATATACAGGCGTTATTAATGAGCGTAAAGCGGATATTGTACGTTTTGTGGGTGTGATTGCTGACTACAAAGCGTGCACAGACAAACATTATACATTGGGAGTATCAATACAAGGTTTTCATATATTTTCGGTGTGTACCACTTGAAAATACATTGTGACTTGTTTCAGCATTTTCAGTCGCATGACTACACTTCTGATTAATATTTGTCGGTTTTGAAGTGGTTGAAAGGAAGAATAGATTCAAACTTGATTTTGCGGTCGGATGTATATATAATACCAGCTTCATGCATTGGTGCATAGCAGGCAGTGATGCTCGTCGTATCGATACGCGGTTTTCATATATTTTCGGTTTGTACCAGTTGAAAATACATTGTTACTTGTTTCAGCATTTTTAGTTGCATGCCCACACCTCTAGTCGTACATGATTAATATTTGTCGGTTTTGAAGTGGTTGAAAGAATATTTTCAAATACATCAATTTCATTGAAGCGTGAGACAGCCTTCTTGTTCATTAGCACATTCTTTTTCACTTGGACACTTTCCTCATTTGGTCTTTAGTGGAGAGAAACGTGTCCGTTGTTCAGTATTCTAACAGATGTAAGGACATGAAGTGGTTGACGTAATATATTCAAACTTGGTTTTGTAGTCCGATTTGTTTCTTAAAAAATCTACTTCCTGTATTTGAACTTGCCAGGAAGTGATGCATCTCTGATATATCAGATCAATATATTATATCAAAGTGACGCCTATGGACACTTTTCATCAACACCAATCAAACCTCAGCTTATGTTTCATAATTCAAGTTACTTATGCAAGATAACAGTAGAGATGTTGATACCATGAGGAAAACACATTCAATAGATTTACATCGTCAAGATGACTGGCAATATTGGCTTTCAAACGAAGAACAAGGAGTAAATACCATTGAATAGTCAGTAAATGATGACACACATTTCAAATACATCAATGTCATTGAAGCATCCTATAATGCCTTCTTGTTCAGGAGCACATCATTTTTCACTTCGACACTTTCCTCATTTGGTCTTTAGTGGAGACAAAGATGTCCTTTGTTAAGTATTCTAACAGATACAAGAAGAAGGACATGATGGTATAGGAGGAAGACGAAGTTGTAGTTTTACCATGCACTTGCTTACATGTACACATGCGTATTTAACATTGCATGTCCATGTATCAACTTCATTAAACACAATTATCGTTTAATACTGTAATTTTCTGTTTGACTATGGGTTTGAAACTGATATAGTTTGGGTTCGAGCAACAGGCATGTGTTAGTATTCTTTCTACATCACATTATGTCACATCTGTCACTTCAAATTTGGATTATTTGGAGAGAAATAAGTTTACAATTCCTTTAAACACATGTAATATCTGTGGCAAGGGATTGTTTTGAGTTACATGCTACAACTTTTTTTAACTCAACATAAATAACCATATTTTCGATAACACCTGTAAAATACATATTTGTTTTCATATTATTGTATCCAATTGGTCGTACTTAAGCTAGAAATTTGAAATTGAAATTCTCCATTGACAACTTGTATAACGATTTCTGTGAATAGGTTTCTTTGATTTCTTCCCTTTTATCTTCTTTATTTTATATACATATTGGAGGGATAATAATACGAAAACCCACTAATCACTGTCCTCCTTATTAACTATGTTTTGGGATCAACAACTGTTTGGGTTACAGCTATGCCAATACGTAACTAGCGCGATGTATAAATAGATAATGCTGACACGCGGCCTACATGACTTGGGTCCAAAAACCTCAGGAGTTGGGCAACAAATGTCCTTTCAAGACAATCTTCATTCATCTACTAAAGTTTACGTTGCGGAAAGATACCATATATTAATTACATGGACTAATAGTTTAGATACTGGGTGCCATCTTACACACTTAACTGCAAAGCATGCTTGATCATCAAGTGGACTTCTGCAGTGGCCAGGTGGAACACGTTATGCAGTGTGCACAATCAAAGCTAGACATTATATGTTACGAGATATATATCAAATCATGGCCCGATACCGTTGAGTAGACAAAGAAAATCAACAAATTAATTAAATCCAGAGAGTTGTGTGGTACACGTATGAGCCAGATTTAATATTATATGCAGGTTCACGAATACTAACTAGTTATGTCATACAAGACAAAAGCCATGCAAGCCTTGGCTGACATTAACTGTGTGACTTTCATTTTTATGAACCCCGAAGAGAGCGTGCTATTTATGTTTAGGTTCGGATTCGCGATGGGGTCAATAGACCCTCAGTCATTATCAGTTTCCAAGAACCTGGACAATAAACTGACAAATAAATCCATCTCAAAACTAGATTGCCTCGGATCCTGAAATTCAGATTTTAAATGGGACAACTTTATTTCTGGGACAAAATGTGAGTCTTTCGTCCTCCATCCTCAAAGAAAGTTCGCGGAAAATAAGACAAAAAGACAAAGTTGATATACAGGTCGTGATATAGCAACAGGTTTTAACTCGTCCAAAATTAATTCAGTCAGTTCGGATATTTGATTATTAATCTTTAATGTATGACCAGCTGCCATTATAGGGGTCAAGGTTGTTGAGGAGAGTCGTCATGCGTTCACATGCGCTGCGCATGTAATCAATGTTGACACGTGATATAAGCAGGACTGTTGTTGGTGGGTCTGGTTTACTGCCATGTGGCTACTGGGGTGACAAGCTGCACGTGCGATTAAACCAACAGGTTTCTGTCCGAGAACCAGCTGTTATTTAGCGGTACGAACATTAACTCAGAACAATGTTCGATCCCTAAATAAATATAAGTATAACCACAAGGTGAATAAATGCCTGCTTGGGTCAGGAACGAATGTGAGTTGTTTGAAAGAAACAAAGTATAAAATCGTCGGTGGATGACAGATGGAGTATGCAGTCTATATCTTCACAGTGGCCGTGACGTTTGCCACACTCTACAGGCGTGCTCGCTTTTCTACCTTCACACAGACAGATCACTGCTGTATTTACGTGCCGAGACAGTAACATTAGTCCACTTGATGTCCTTCGGGGAAAAACAAACATGTCAATTTTATCATGACCATTATCATTAGAAATAGCATTGTTGATATGTTTTATCATTGATATTATCACTTACATTATCTCGTTGAAAATAAATTGAAGTTATGAAACTGTTCACTTGTGAACGTGTTATTTCATAATATTTTGCGGATGAATACCGTGACATTGTAGTTACTTGTGTTGAATAAACAAGAGTAGCTGTCTACTATACTACATATGTATAGCATCACCTTACCAATAACCAGTTTTATTGACACGTCATGTCGACGTGACATGAAGGATGCATATTCAACTCTATAGCCTAGATGACTTCAATATCATAGCTGATCAGGGCTTGCACGGTGTAAACTGCAGCTTTCTTTAAGGTATTAGCGTCTATAGTAAGCATGACGTGGCGAGGACATGGGGGCTGTAACAGAAGTAAAACCCACATAATTCACGTCATTTAACACAATAACAGTGGCAAAAGATGAAACATAGATACGTATCTCAACACGAACACGTGCTCCTGGCAGAGAAATATGGATCACAAAAGCTGTCACCTGAGAAACAGCGCTGTCTAATGGCGATATCTACCGATAACAAAATGACTGCCGTTGGACATGGAGGAGGTATTAATGTCTACACACAAAATAGATTGCTTGATAACGTTTAACTTGAAATAAACTAAGCGGCGAAATGACGAGAGAGACATGACTCCAGAAACTCATTAATTGTGTATATTTTCTGTGTATATTTTCTGATTAAATAAAATCATAATCATCAAGTAACATCAATATCTGTTCAACTTCCAAAAGAAATCTGCTAAACAACGCACAGGTTAATACTTTTCTTCCTTTCAAAGCACTGGTTTTCAGGTGACCTATTTTCGATAACTGTTTAAAATACTTATAGCACACTCGACATTTCTGTAACGTTACGTCCGTGAGTATTCAACACACCAAATGTTCAAGTAGCCAGTTCCCAAAGTGAATGATTTAAGCATACAGATCATCATACTGTAGATGACATTAGAAACCCGTGTAGATGAACAAAATGTTTCAGCTTACCTTGCCGTCGCCAACGCCTTGTCTTCGTTGCGGGAGAGAGGTGAGCGAGAGACCCTGCCTCCACCTCGGCTCTGAAAGCAATGGTGGTCGCTGCTACTGGCTTATATAGAGCCCCTCCTGCGGACGTACCGAGAACGTGGCGGCGCTTGCACAACAGCGCATTGCCACGTAAACACTACGTTGTTATGCTGACGTCACTGTCTAAATTTAGCCTGGAAAAATCCATTCATAGAACGCTGCGTTTTGGAGACCATAAATAGTTACCGTTATTCAGGTAATTGGTTTTCTTTACACACTGAGTCTTGTTGTTAATGCAAGTTCACTTAATAGTAGCTGAGAGGTACTGGCCCCTTCTATCGTAACACATACACACGTACAAAATGTGTTATCAGAGCCAAAAACACATTTGCAATCCGCCGAAACGCAACCGGTTGGCAATCGTTGTGAAATGCGCAGCTTACCGCCCACTTCGCCATATGCCATTCATCGACGAGTAACATTTATAAATAAGTACGTTGTCATACCGATGACTAAAGAGTTATTTATATTGTAATGATAATGAATATCATTATATTTTTCATTGCAAAGCATTAGATACTTTGAGGAAACAATATTTATCCTCCCATCTAACCTCTTTTCCCAATGAAACAATTAAGTTCACGAAAATATTATCTGTAAAAACATCTTGAGACATAGTAAATCTATCAAAATATATCCTACATCTATTATCTCTTGTCAGAAAAATATGTTAATATGTTGTTTACTGCCATCTTGAATTTGAATTTGTATTTGTATATATGTTTACAATATATGCTCTTGTACCACCAAGGTGGTTTATGAGAATAAAGAATTGATTAATAACGTAATAATAATTTTCAGTGGTTGGTGCACGTTATGTAGAGTCAGTTCCTCCCAACAGGCTGTTCCAGTTGTTGGTAATGTACCTGACATAATTCTACATCTGTAAACAACGTCATGATAAGTTTAGTTAGCCTTCTTATGATTCACTTCAGTACATAATGATTCCACAAGCAAAGATTATATAACCATGAAAATGATGCCGTGTCTACTTTCAATATAGGTCGTGCGCATGCTCTTGAAGGTAATCCTCATATTACGAAGAGAACGATATTTAATCTCCTCGTCACAGAACCCATTCATCCTGCACACCAAGAACCTGTTGTGCGAGAAGCTTATGTGCGATTAAAGGTTGTATAACCGTTGCCCTAGTAAGGTTACACAGCATGTCGGGAGCACGGGGAAATCAACACCGACATATGCCATGATGCTGGACTTCGACCTCACGAAAGTCAAACAAAATGGAGTATCTATGGTATCAACGTGGTAGTCGGGATCTGCTGATAACATAGGCTGAGTAACTTCTGTAATGTATTATGGATAAATATAACACTTTACTCGACACTTTTCAAAATATTCAGGAATTTGTCAGATAAGACTTTCATTGTGAAGTTTTCCTATCAGACTTTAATATACATAAGCAATATTTTAATTTCATCTCGGTGTAAGGCAGATGTGGCCTAATCGATGCTACCAAACATTGTCAGACTACATCTACTTTAAGACACATTCATTACGATATATACATGAGCCGATGCGCAGTGACCTTGTGTTCCTATACACCGACAACGTCCATCTGTCATTCGCATCCTCCTTTGGAGACAATTACATTGAAACTGAAGAGTTATATAATTAGTTTAATAATAATGCCCCCTGATATAATAGAATTAGTTTAAAAATAATGACCCTGATATAATATAATTATTTAGGTTCAAAAAAAGGCATTGAGCAAGATGTTTAATTGTAGATATGAACGGCTGCTAAAAAGGTTATGTTTTGTTTTCGGAAAAGAGCAAGTCTAGAAACAGACTACATGTACACTATTTAGGATGCTGATGTAATGGTATTGTCAATACCAACTGTACCGCCACATGCCAGGATGCCAGCAAAATATAGTTGATGTATCACAGAAGTGCGCGACATAAGTGTCTAGTCTGTAGCACGTGTTCATGTCCCACCGTGGATGGTTTGAGAAACAAAACGACTGGGCTTGATAGGTCACAGTTCAACGAAATACACATGACCGGGCCAATGCTGGACATGTGACCAATCTCTGGTCACAAGGTCACGGTAAGGGTTGCCGTGAACTACTCAGGTTCGGGCTACATGAGCACGTTTGTCTCATCCTATCGTCTTCTCTTTCGCCCGTACTCAGTCATGCATACACTGTATACAGAAGCTGGTCGTGCGTAATACAATCTCAATTTGGGAAACCCACCAGTCTCGGTTTCTTCAACTTACTACCGGGTTTGAAAACCACGCGACAATTCATGAGTATCCTCACAGCTTTGTGTTCATTGAAACTGGATATATACACCGTCTAGTAGCACTGGGGTATATGCATATATCTACAGAAGGGCACATGTTCGTATTACCTGGATCAAACGTGGTGTCACAGCGACCTACAGAAATATGTTGCTTTGTGGATTACCAAATTCAGGCGTATTCAGTGTAAACTTGATTTAACTTCCGAAGCCCGTGTACAAAATGTCAAGAATAATTGTGAATGAACATACAGATCACACAGTCGTGATGGATATACCTTACCAAACCTACCGCAAAAGTCAAGATAAATATTGCCTTGATCTGTTTCTACCTCGTAGCTTTTTCTCTCCAGGGAAAGACCAGATTCAAAAGATGTTTACTCCGGAATACCCACTTAACCACAAACAGGTCGTCGAAAGAGATTCTCATTCTCTTCTTAAACAAACAGCATCGTGTTGTCATGATCAGAAAGCACCAGCGTGCAGTAATGGCAAAGCCAGTCCCCCGCCAGTGGTGGTGTTTGTGCATGGTGGTGGGTGGCAGAGGGGATGTAGACGCGCCTGGACTTACTTTGGGGGTAGCATCAACCTTCTGTCCAGTTTCATCACATGGTCCTTTGGTCTTTACCAAAACGTAGGATCGAGTTTGGCGAGCCGTGGGGTGGCGTGTGCAGTTATTTCCTACCCACTCACTCGTCCCGCGATGCCCTTGGTTCTGCTGGACATCATTGTGTCCTACTCTTGTAGTGCTATCTTTTCTTCCATGGTTTACCAACTGATATCTATAACTTGCCTTTTCATTCATTCTACATGCTCCTTTCTCATGAAATGGGAACATGCCTTGGTGATAAATGAAAACAGTATGGAAAGTGCAAACCGCACATTTGTACTCAGCGTGACATTGTCATCTATGTTCATCTTCAACAATTATTTGATTTTATTAGCAATGTTTATATGCAGTTGTAACAACCCTTTCAAAGGCATACCTCCACTTGTAGCAAGATTGCTGTGGACAACAGTCAGTGTCCTTCTTGCTCACCTATCATCCGTGTTGGGCAGCGAAACAGCTGCCTACACATATCTGTGTACATCATTGTTGTGCATCAGCATCCAGCTTCACAGTGCCAGGCAGTGGCAGCCTGTCTCCAACTCACAGCAGATACGAGCCATAACTACAGCTTTCAAATGGATCAAGAACTGCAGTGAACGCACGTCTCTGTTCGATTCAAAATCTATATTCCTGATGGGTCACTCGGCGGGTGGTCAGCTTGTTTCTCAACTAGCCCTGGACAAACATCATCTAGAAGACGGCGGATGCTCGTCCAGTGACATTAAGGTAATAACACACCATATTTCTGTGAAATGAATAATGGTGTGTGTGTGTGCGTGTGTCAGGAAATTACAAATGATAGCAAAGATAGTTTAAAAGTTGTGCCTGCTCACATTAACATTTTAAGCTAATGATTATGCAAAGTTTTAAGCGTACAATTTCTTGTTAAAGCGAGCAACATAAATAATTGGTGAACAACTGTTCGTTGCAGGGTGTTGTCTCTATCTCTGGGGTGTATGACTTACAGAAGCTTTCATCCCCCGTCTTGAGACGCCTGTATCTCCACCCCGCCTTCGGCCCACTCCCTGACAACTGGCTTCAGGCCTCCCCGATCATCCTCATCTCAGAACCAATCGGTGGAAGGAGTTGTCCCCCCTTTCTGCTTCTAACAGCACAGATTGATGGGCATTTGAATCGTGACGCCGACGAGTTCTGCGAGAAGCTCAAATTGAGGAATGTTCCCGTCATAAAGCATATTATTCCATTAACTATGCACTTAACCATCATGGCTTGTTTCTCAGTGTTTCAGTCGTCTGTTTGTCAAAAATGCGTTGATTTCATCAAGGATAACACCTCATAGTGCCGCATTTCATTAAAAGTGGACAGTTTCTATATAAACAATTGTATTTAATTATGTACATTCTGATGAGCAATTAGTAATAACGGTGGTGCATAGTACAATATTCTTTAGGTTCGCCTTATTTTCATCCTGTTTTTTAGCCTTGTTTGTGGTAATGAATACACAATGCCATTTAGAAAGTGGTCAAATTGTATATTTAGGATTACACTTTTTCAGTAAAGTTCAGATTCTAGTACTTTTGGGGGATTGAGTCCCATCTGAGATTCCAACCCAAACTCTCAGAGTCAGGGACCTTATCGCCAGCACACAAAGTCAGTGATCTAACCGACTCTGTCACTACCTTTCCACAAACAATCTGAAAACTGAACGAATGAAAGCTAGGAGTGGGTCAGTTTAGTTTTACACAACACTCAGCAATATTTCAGCTATATGGCGCGGTGTGTAAGTAATCAAGCATGGACCAAACAATCCAGTGATCAACAGCATGAGCATCGATCTACCTAATTGGGATAGGATGACATGCATCCACCAAGTCAGCGAGCCTGACCACCCGATCCCGTTAGTCACCTCTTTATGATATGCATGCCCTAGGAATACACGATGCCATTTAGAAGAGCTCATATGTAGGATGTTATATTTGTGATTACACTTATTCAAAGTACAGATTCTTAGACAGTGTAATCCCAAATATGACATGTTGTTTCAAATAAGGTTCTAATAGAAGCTACAAATTTGAAATAAAGTGTGACCATTGAATGGAGAGCTATTTTGAGACTCACCTTATCATGTCTAACCAGTGTTGGTCTCACACAGTCTGAGAGATACACTTTAACTCAGCATATGTTATTCTCTCACTGCATGTGTTGTTGAAAGATGCTGTAGTCAAAGTTTGGAAATAAATTGTGATATTTGGAGCATATGTTATTCTCTCACTGCATGTGTTGTTGAAAGATGCTGTAGTCAAAGTTTGGAAATAAATTGTGATATTTGGAGCATATGTTATTCTCTCACTGCATGTGTTGTTGAAAGATGCTGTAGTCAAAGTTTGGAAATAAATTGTGATATTTGGAGCATATGTTATTCTCTCACTGCATGTGTTGTTGAAAGATGCTGTAGTCAAAGTTTGGAAATAAATTGTGATATTTGGAGAATATGTTATTCTCTCACTGCATGTGTTGTTGAAAGATGCTGTAGTCAAAGTTTGGAAATAAATTGTGATATTTGGAGAATATGTTATTCTCTCACTGCATGTGTTGTTGAAAGATGCTGTAGTCAAAGTTTGGAAATAAATTGTGATATTTGGAGCATATGTTATTCTCTCACTGCATGTGTTGTTGAAAGATGCTGTAGTCAAAGTTTGGAAATAAATTGTGATATTTGGAGAATATGTTATTCTCTCACTGCATGTGTTGTTGAAAGATGCTGTAGTCAAAGTTTGGAAATAAATTGTGATATTTGGAGTGTCTTCCATATAAATTAATGACAGTTGCAAGGAAATCACCATGGTAATTCCTTAATATACTTTATCATCTTCTATTATTACAAAACTAAGCCAAATGATTCACTTTCTACTGAGTTTTGAATCAAACATAAACTTGCTTCTTTTAGTTGGATGCAGTTCACGGGTGGTTGGAAAACAATCCACTTTCCGTTTATGCTCTCTGTGCCACTCTGCAAATTAATTGATCTGGGACAAGATTCCCTGTGTGGCACACAAGTGTTTCTTATGCCCCTGTGGCTTATGTGTGCTGCAAGCTGTAACTGATTGAGGGTAGATCATTAATACCTTTAATTAACCTCATTAGATAGCAATAGCACCAATTATTAAGTACCATTCATTTAATTATTTACACACATCTCTCTCACACATGATGTACTCCAAACCAAGCCTGTAGATTTTGGTATTGTCGTCCTGGACTCGTCTTCTCTTTGATGGCTGATGTCCTTCGGCATCCTTGTTCAACTGCTCTTTTTTTTGAACAAAAGGATCATCTGGTACATGTTCAGGCGAGATTTCTGTTCAGGCATGGAAAGACGGTTGTTATAACCTTCACAGTTATTGTTTGTTCTTGGTGTTTCACTGCAGAAATGATTCCCAACTGCAATGGGAAAGTGTACTTGCGCCCAAGTGTCTGAGAAGTAATCACAAATTTCCACACATTTGCTTATGGACGGTGTCATGGAAGCAACAAGTTCAAATCCCATCAGAACGAGTGATACTGGCAAGAAGCCAAGTCCAATGCGCGTATGAAACCAGTACTGCACATCACTGGAGGTCTTGTACTGTTTGGAAAGTCCTAACTCTTTCTCCAAAGGGCTTGTCCAAAATGAAACAAACAACTTTTGAGGTGAGCAGAAGGCAATAATGAACGAACAATATTATGCACAGCAAGCTCAAAATAAAAAAACATGGATGTGTCTCTTGGATCGCAAATGACAAAGAGTCCCACTGATGTAGTGGTTACCAACGCAAGGCAGCCAGGTTGTCTGCATCTCCACTGGACAGTTCCGTTCTGGTTTACGGTCTTGTTCTTGTACTTAAACCCCTGCATCAATATATCATGTCCCCCCTGTCTGCTGTCCACAATCTCTCCTCTATCTTCCATGATGTTTGATCAGTGACATAACTGATATTATATACATCCCTATTTCCTTCTCCAGATAAACAGTTTACTAGTTCCTTCTCAGTATGGATGGACAACAAAAGTACCTCATTCATACCTAATTACACCTAATTAACAAAAAGGTATAACAACAGTAGCTCCTGAGTAAAGTAATCTTAACGAGTTCACACCTCATTAAAACTAATTAACTGAAATGGGGATCTGTCCCTGTGTGGTACATGCCCTCGACCCAATTTCCCGGTGTGGCACTTGTAATCAGTGATGTGTGGCAGATGCAAGTGCCACAGAGGGAAACCACCCCATTAGTTTTTCACCACCTACAACGGAGAAATAATTATTCCCAAAAATACATAAAACAATTTATGCAATATTGGAAATTTTAACTATAAATTGTATATTTATATACTTATCCTATCTCACGACTTGCACCTCTCTCTCTTCATTCGACCATGAGTGGAAACGAATTAAAACCTTGCTCCAGGCCTTCCTTGTCCCTGTCCCCGTGCTGTGCATGCCTTCCTGCCTTAGCCATACTCACTAGGCCGTGACAGCACGTGGCATGCGCAGTCCTCACCCACGTGATCACCTTCCATACTCATTCTCGATCTTGGAGCCATAAAAGGACAAAACCGGAACGGTGGTAATCTAAGTAGTGGGGAGGTAGGGTGGGACTTTATCGCGTGAGATAGGATAAGTATATAAATATACAATTTATAGTTAAAATTTCCAAATTTTTAAACTTATCCTATCTCACGACTTGCACTTATCCCACGGTAGGAAGGTGGGTCATAGATTACCCGAAGTTCAAGCGATAACAGCTAAGCGTTATGCCAAAACAACCGTAGGAAGCAACTACAAGGCAGGCAAATAACTACCAAAGTTACTACGTGTGAGGGTTAGTGCGAACCCATTGACTTACTAAGCACAAGTGCTCCCAGGGACCGGGATTCCCGAGCAATTAGGTGTTCAGTCACTACCTTCACAAAGTGAAAGGACGCAGCTTAGCGAGTGTAATCAGTCTCATCGCCACGATTTCCAAGGTACCCCCGTAATAAAAGTCTAACGACTAGTATCGGGCCAGCCCCTGCTTCGAAACAACCCCCACAGACACCGTCCCGAGGAGGGTGAAAGGGTAATTGAATCGGAAAAACTCACAATTTTAACGTTCAGTACCACATCATCTTATGACTTCCACTACTTACCACAGTAAGATCACATAGATGTGTATAGGTACTTAGGAGCATGAACGCTACGAAGTGTAACACTTCAGGAATGACTCACTTCACTTACGTAATTACTCCATGGAGCAGAGGACAGTAAGTGAGGTGGCGACACTCCAGCGTCTCAAAAGCGAGACATGCGATGGTTAGTTCGAACCCATTGACTTACTAAGTACAAGTGGTCCAGGGACTGTGATTCCTGAGCAATGTGGTGTTCAGTCACTACCTTCACGAAAGTGAAAGGACGCAGCTTAGCGAGTGTAATCAGTCACATTACCACGATTTCCAAGGTCTGACGACCAGTATCGGGCCAGCCGCTGCTTCGAAACAACCCCCACAGACACCGTCCCAAAGGGTAATTGAATCGGAAAACTCACAAGTCCCAGAAGAATCGAAGACACAAATCAGAAATAAAATTCAGAATTTTATTCAGATTGTACACAAAGCAGAAATGATCGCAACTGGTGATCATCTGCGCTGAAGCTGATGGTTGTCCCGAGTGCCCGAACAGGTCTACATCTGGTCGTGATAACAGGTAGATCTTTGATTGGAAGATCAGAGGCAGTTGTTTCCACTCCGTGAGTGACAGGGCATCGGCAATGACATTCCTCATCCTGGGAATGTGTCGGGCTCTGGCCACTGTGTGGAGTGAATCGATCAGATGATAAATTTGAAACATCAACTGAAGCAGAGCTGCTGATCCTGTCGACCCATGATGGTTTATGTACAAAAATACCATCGAAATGTCTGATTGAATCAGTATATGAGTGAACCGTAGTTCAACTGCCCAATGCCGAACGGCGAGAATGACAGGGCTGAATTCCAATTCGTTGTGATGAAGGGCCCTTTCTCCTGATGACCACTGCTAGGCCACTTGATGAAGAAATTGAGCGCCCCAGCTTGAAAGATGTGTCAACGTACAGGTGTTGAGGGCACCATAGAGACTCCAACACAAACATTCCACTTGTTGAGCCACCAACGAAAGACTGAATGTAGTTTTGCGGGAAGACAAATCAACTCCCTGGGGTTGTCGTCCCCGATGTATGGGCACAGAAACATCTGAAGAGGGCTAAGCTGCAGCTGGCCCCTGTAAGTCAGCGCTTGTGCCGACGTCAACCACCCCAGTAACTTCTGCCACTGGCGAAAAGTTGTGGGTTGGACCAGCACTAGTGGTGCGGTGCACTGAATCTTGTCCCACCTCTCCTGGGGCACAAACATCATGACCTGTCGTGTTGAATATTGTCCCAATAAAAAGAAATCATCGGGTTGGTGTTACCTCCGATTTCTCCGAATTTAGCAGCCATACTAATTGCGTGAGCAACTTGATGATGAACTGCCTGTGGAGAGGAAGGACAACTAGATCCGGCTGGGCTTGAACACAGTCGTCAATATAGTTCTCAAATGTCACGCCTCGACAATGCAGGTAACTTGTTATCGGATTGGGTATCTGAGTAAAAAGCCACGGGGCCGCACATATGCCCATACAGCAGGACCCTCCATTGGTATCAATGACGCCCCTTGAAAGTAAATCGAAGATACTACCGATAGTCTGGATGTATCCGGATGTGAAGGTAGGCGTCTCGCAGGTCGAGGGACTGACTGACTGACTGACTGACTGACTGAGTTTAGTTTTACGCCACTTTTAGCAATAATCCAGCAACATCACGGCGGGGGACACCAGAAATGGGCTTAACACATTGTGCCCATGTGGGGAATCGAACCCGGGTCTTCGGCATGACAAGCCAACGCTTTAACCACTAGGCTACCCCACGGCCCTCGCAGGTCGAGGGAAATGAGAAGTCTAACCACTCTTGCCTCTGACACAAAGATATCTCCTGATATAAGAACATTCATAAGTCGAGCAACTATGTCAGTTCTGACGGAGTGCTCAATGTAGTATGTTCGGTGCATGGAGATTGTCAGTCAATCTACAGGAACGTTCACATTGTAAACGAATTGAAGAAATTCGTACGATCGGTGACCTCAGGAACGTTTCGGTTGGCCGAACAAAATGATGATTCGCCAGGTGGAGTGATAAAGGTAGTAGATCGCTGCCTGGTGACAGTCCTTGCATAACTGCAGTGACCTCTGAACTCAGTGCTTGTGCTAGTCAAACCGTTCACGGGTGTTTCTGTCTGTCACCCTCGGTAAGCAGTCTCTCTCGACTGGCTGTCGAAATCCCGACACAATCACTCTTACCGGGAATGGCAGCATTCATTGTTACTAGCATTTAAAGGCTGGACTTGGTATCCGATTCGTGGGACCAAGACAAGTCTGCAAGGGCACTTCATAGTCACTCTAATCATCAAAATTCCGGTAAACAAACAGCAGTCCGCCATTTGCAAACGTTACACACGGTCTTCGGTTAACCGGGCGAGTCGCAACCAATAAATTCCAGGCTGAGCTATGCTGGCTATTTGACAAAACATCACTGCTGGTACCATGCGCAAAAACTTCACCCATCTGTTATCGTTCCAGAAACTTGCTTATCATGTAAAACAAAGGGAGCTGAAGATGACGAACCATCTGCAACAATCTCACCCAGCGATACACAAACACGCTGTTACCAGTAGTCTGTAGTAACAAGACTCAGTGGAGCGTCGTAAAGTATTCCTGGCTAGCAAGCGTATCTAGTAATGCCATATCGGGTGGTTGTAGAACTGATATCTACACCGAAGGGTAGAATTGTTGAACCAAATCATTCATCAATGGTGAAGATCAGATGGTAGATTAAATCTGGAATGAGATGAGCCACGGTCACGGAGGACTCTTGAGAACTGGGATCGTCAGGCCGTCAAGTGCCGAGTGTGATATCTCTAGATGACTGCGCTACTGACATCACATGTAAATCAATTCGGCATTGTGAAGCACATAGCTACTACCTCTGTACAACCATCCGAAAAAGAGGTACAAGGTGGGATAAGTTATGTGACTAAAAACATTAAGCACCTCACAAGCCGTAAGGTAAACCGGATAAACAAATCAAATTGTCGAGCTTAGAGCTTGCCACTTCGTAATGAGGAATTCAGCGCCTTACAGATGCCCTGAAAACTATGATCGTTGAAAACTAGCAGAGTTCGACAAATTTGGCCCTATCTAGATGCAAGTTCAAGAACCTCGTTGAGGATGTGGAAAACCAGTGTTGACAAGTCCCGATCCTTCATGCTGAATGAAATCAATAGAACATCTGGTATCTTGCTCTAGGTAGCTGTAGGTGGTCGGCGAACCATGCGATCATGTGTGTCAAATCAACCAAAACCATTCCTGCATCTTATAGGCAACTGGCGTAGCCCGAACCATGAAAACAAGGACAAGATGTGGGTTAAGTGTCTTGGGAGGCATCCCAGACATATTTGGCATAGGCTCTGATAACCTGGTAAAATGTCCTGTGTTGGAAATAACACGAGTGGTGAATCGCCCAATTCATGAATATTGGAATTCAATTGCTGGCAAGGTCCGAGGAACGGATTATTGACGAAAGCTGACAGTTCGATGAATGCTGACAATTCAGTGATCTTGAACGGCCAGGTGAACTGGTTCGACGATAGGGAGCTTTTCGGCCTGGTGAAACGGTACGAGTCGGGCTGGTAAATCGGTTCAGGGTGGTGAGCTGGAATGTTGACGTGATCTGAATCAGTCCATGATCTGGATCGGCGTTGTGATCTGGATCGTGACTGTGACTGTGATCTGGATCGGTTCGGTAATCCGAAACGTTTAAATGATCTCAGCTGATGGAGAGATCTAAAACGCTCAGATGAACCGGTGAGGCGAGGTGAAATGTTCCGGCCGAGGTGAATCGTTTCGGTGCTGTGAATTGAATCGATGATGTGAACCGTTTCGGCGATAAGAAACAGTCTTAATATTATGGCGAAACTGAGTCGATGTCGTTCCGAAACGGTTTGGTCTGGTGAATCCATTCGGTATGGCGAACCGATTCGGTGTGGTGAATCGGTTCGGTGATTTGACGATGTAGATCGGCTGTGTGAGTCAGCTGGCAACACAGAGCGGTTTGATGAGGCGGAACGGCGAGAAGACATCTGATGATGTGCCAATAAAATTATCACCGTCCGACATGGGAATCTCCGGACGACGAGCAGTTAATACTGGTCGTTAAAAGCGGGGGTTTGTCAGGTGATCAACTGTTGAAGTGTAACAAGCTCTGTCTGCCAGCCAACGGGAGCAAGCATGTCTACATGCTCTAAAAACGTCCTTGATAAGGGAGCACATTCCCGACGTTTGCTCCAGGAGCACAGGTCAATACAACCAACACATGACGAGTGGGGATCCGAGGAAGTAAATATTGTTACAGTGTGCGCAAAATTACGCTACTTAGGGTCAACAGCAAGAAGCATGGTGTCTAAACCCGGCGCTGGAGAGGGATCAAGCGCAGGACTCCAAGACTCAGCAATAACCTATGACCGAGGCAAAGTAGAAGTGGCATGGCGTGAAGGTGAACGCCGATCCACTGAACCATAACGCAGCCTAGCAGGTGAAACCACCCGCACAGAACGATGTTAATGAGGGGAACTATCACGTAAAGGTGCTGACCGCAAGTGCTCACTAGCTCTAGACTGACAAGACGGGATATCCTGATTCACCTGACGAAAACACACCGTACGGCTAGGTGAACCGGATCGAAATGGCGAACCACTTCGACTAGGTGAGACTGAACGACTACGTGAATCAAAATGCTGTGGTGAATTGATTCGACTATGAGATGGTGAGTCGAACTGAAACCTATGTTGAGGTGAACTGAGTCGGGAATGTGAACCGGTTCGTCCTGGTGAATCAATTCGAGTTCGGTCTGGTGACCCGGCTCGGCTGAGTGAACTAGTTCGACCCTTGGCAATAACACGACTAGGTGAGTGGTTCTGTTCTAGTGAACTAACACTGGCATAAAACCCAATTCTGATTTGTGAAATGAATCGAGTTGGTGAATCAGTTCGGACTGCTACATTGGAAGGACGACGAGAGCTCAAACGTGAACGAGATCTAGAACGACACTTCCAAGCAGTAGAAGAACGAATTCGAACCTCCGAACCAGATGGTGACTCAACTCGTGTGGGTGAATTGTTTCGGTGGGATGAAACCGTACGAAGAGGAGAACGGTTATGTTCCAACCACGCCGATCCACGCTTCGATGATGAAAGCTTGGATTTAGAAGTTTTCGAGGACTTTGAACGGTCCGAAGAAACGGAGGAAATATCAGTCATTACCACCCTTGCATGCCAATGAGAACTTGAGCTAGGTGAGGAAAGCGTCCCAAACACCTTTCAACATTCTCAGACAAATAGGAATCAGGCGAAGCGTCCATAAAATCTTCATTAGGACGGCGGGATTTAGAACGGCGAGCAGGTAGGGTGAGGCGATGTAAACATTGCTTTTAGCGGGAGATGGACCAGATCCCGCATAAGCATTCCTGGCCCTATCTGGCACAAGCACGTTTGTAAGCTTTAAAATCCTCATTAGACAGTCCTGAACACTTAGGACGTTTGTCCCAATCACAACAACCCACATAATCAACACAAGATGTGTGTGGGTCCCAAGCTGAAAAAACTTTATTACGCTGAGAGCAAAACTTCGTTTCTGGCCTGAAAAGGCTTAACCATGTTGAGCAATTATCAGACGAAAAAAAATTCACGTCCATTCTGTCGAGCGACAAGAAAGAGAATGAGTATGGAAGGTGATCACGTGGGTGAGGACTGCGCATGCCACGTGCTGTCACGGCCTAGTGAGCATGGCTAAGGCAGGAAGGCATGCACAGCACGGGGACAGGGACAAGGAAGGCAGGGACAAAGTTTAATTCGTTTCCACTCATGGTCGAATGAAGAGAGAGAGGTGCAAGTCGTGAGATAGGATAAGTTTAAAAATTATTTCCAGTCTATATTTCAGTACTATTGGGCATTGTTGATTCTTACCCATACTTAAAAATGAAAAAAAAACTCATTTTAACTCAATTTTACCACAAAGAGGACTAAGAACACTGTGGTTCAATGACACTTACAGCCCTAAAGAAGAGATATAACAAGCATTATGCTGATAAAATTTTTATTTCATTCTTTACATCTCATCACAATCTTTCTATTCTTCATCCCAGTGTTAAGAGAGAGTCAAACTCCCTAGTTTGACTGTTCTGTATAACTTCAGTCTTCCAATTTTCAGTTGCATAAAAACATTCTTCCTCGAACAATATGGACATATTACACTCTATGTTGAGAAGTCCCTATTAAAAGGTTACAAATTAAAAATGATCCTATGTGTAAAAAGAAATGTAAGTACATCTAAAAGGAAATACTTTCATTAAAACTGGACCTAAAAAGTCATTTACAGACTTGAAACACCAATGCCCCGACCCTATGACCACACTCAACCACACACACTGAACCATCATAAACATCATGCATCTTGAACAAAGTTGTGTGTTAGATCCTTCTCTACCACCAACACAGAACTGTACCGGTATCTGACAAAGTTGTGTGTTAGATCCTTCTCTACCACCAACACAGAACTGTACCGGTATCTAACAAAGTTGTGTGTTAGATCCTTCTCTACCACCAACACAGAACTGTACCGGTATCTGACAAAGTTGTGTGTTAGATCCTTCTCTACCACCAACACAGAACTGTACCGGTATCTAACAAAGTTGTGTGTTAGATCCTTCTCTACCACCAACACAGAACTGTACCGGTATCTAACAAAGTTGTGTGTTAGATCCTTCTCTACCACCAACACAGAACTGTACCGGTATCTAACAAAGTTCAGTCATATCCTCCACTTTAAGTTCGCTGGGATTTGATTTTGTTCTGCTTATTAAACACATATGAAAATAAACCTCTAAACACACTCTATACAGTCAATAATCCAACACCAGATTACATACAAGACTACAAGCAGTTGTAGGATATGATACACACTACAAAAAGTGAAAAAGTGATCTGCAGAAAGGGCAGTCATATTTGAATTTCAACTACCACAAGATCTGAGATTTGTTTGGCTGCACAGGCAACATCCCACTACATAAAGCGTGGATAGATCTTGTCACAGATCGAGTCAGGGAGTTTGGTTAAAGCTGCTTAAACTGTATTCCAGTTATATCACATTGTGTCAGCTTATTGTAGGAGGAAGAGTGGTGTGAGGGAGGTCCAAGCACAGGCATGGTTCAGACAGACTACTGAGGAAACCTGAGACTCAAGCCATCTACCATAGGTTTCAATCCTACCCTAGTGATGTAATTCTGCACAGAGATTTGTGGCATCTCAAACGCCTGGGGAACCTATACTTGCATACATTTTAGACAAGCATGGACATCCTACACAATCCAAGCATACAAGTTCTCCTTAAACCTGTGGCAACACAAGCTGTTAGAAAGCTTTTGGTGCTCCATTTTACATTTAGTATAACGTTTGATTAAGAATTGACTATGTAACTGATTCTATACATGACATAATACTGTGAAATAATCTCCAGCCTGGGTCTTAATTACATAAAACAATTAAAAGCATAAGAGAATGAGGCAACAATTGCTTTCTTCAACAACTAACAGATATGTGAAACCTGTTTACAGTCTTTCCTGATTTACATCCTAATTCATATGTGGATGTGCCAGTACAAAAATGTCATAAGGGCAGTCATTTCACTTCTCAGACAAATATTACCAACACCTCCAAACATGTACTATGACAGGTGACTCATGCACTTAAATTGTCACAGATGGTTCCACAAGTGTTGTTATTGTGTCATTCCTTTAAGTTTGTATATGTGAACAATCCCAGAGATGTCTAGTATCACACTGTAAATAATAGCTGCATGTTGTAGTCAGTATCTCCAGCTGCTCCAACTGTTTGTCTGCATGTGGACCATGACACCAGCACTGACTGTCTCCTGGCGTACACCGTACAGTGGACCTACACCTGAACCTGAGCCATGGGCTGGAGGTTAGGGCACACCTGGGCCAGGAAATGTAAAACATCATCATAAGCTTAAGTTTATCAATCAATCTTTACTTACATCATCACCTGTATGCTGACATGTCAAAAGATTTATCTACATCGTGCATTCTCAAAATGTATATACATGTCTACTAAAAGGTTAACCACTGGCTAGATGTACTGACCTGGAACTCAGCCCCTGTTGTCTCCACAATGTCCTCTACAGTCACACCATCAGCGATCTCGGTCAGTGTCAGCCCTTCCTCAGGGCTCACTGTGAACACTCCCTGAAGACGCACAGGTTTAGGCATAGATTCTAAGTGTTGCAAATGGCTGGGATCATATTACAAAATTTCACCTTCATAAAGCCTAAGGTTTCAGACATGTTAGAATTGCAAATGTCATTATCACACAAAAAACACTTATATGTTTGGACCTGATTTTTTAAAGCAACTTTCAGAGACATTGTTGGGATAAAACATAACATTGTTTCAGAGGAAGTTGAGAATACACACAGATGAAGGAATAACATGGTACGAAACATGGTATACAAAACATTCTACTGAGACAGGGTTTGAAGATGGTCATTAACCAGCATGACAGTGGTAACAGCACTACCTTCTCTGTGATGATCATATCTACACACTGCTTGCCAGTCAGCGGAAGGGTGCACTCTGACAGGATCTTGTGTTTCCCACCCTAGAATACAGGCAACTGACTATCACACACACAACTCATGCACACATCAGGGGCACAAGATAGACAATAAACACCATTTCAATGTTATTTAAGCAAGACATGAAATATGGTCTGCATATCTGTGATAGTTGTCAGTATGGTTTAAAAATATATAATTAGGTCAACTCAAACAATCCAGAAATGTATAATGCTTGGCTTCTATGAACACTCAACGTACTTGAGGTAATGTGTGTCATGCTGTCTTTACTGGCAAATTACTATAGTTGTCCACCAGATAACTTGATATCTGAAGGTAGATCTGGGTCATTTTCCACAGACAAGAATGTTTGGAAAAGCAAAAGACTAAAGATACACCTATATGGTTTGGTTGTTAAATACACATTACCTTTGCAGCATGCTCCATTGTCACAATGACCTTTGTCTTGTGGCTTGACACAAGGTCCATGGCACCACCCATCCCCTTTACCATCTTCCCCTGCAACAAACAACACCAGTTTCAAACGAGTGCAATCCAACATTGCAGCTGGGCTGACTAGCATCACTGAGGAACTCACCGGAATCATCCAGTTTGCTAAATCCCCATATCTGGATACCTGCATTGCTCCCAAGATGGTCAGACTTACATGGCCCCTGTAACATGAGTAAACAAAATACTGGTGACATCATTCTGTTGCTTTGGCCCATACTTTATCATTCCAGAAACACATCTGATGATTCATAGTCAAGAACTAACTTGAATTGAGATTAGGTTTCACATACCGTGATCTGAAACATGACTGTCAGTCTTTGTCTTTAAGAACAGATGACAAAATGGAGGTGATTGTAACAGAACTGCATGTTAATAGCGATAGTATGATATTGCTCCTACCCTCTGATCATGGCGAAAGACTCATCACTGGAGAAATATGAGCTTCCCTCTATGCTAGTTACAGTTTCCTTGCCTGCATTGATGAGGTCTGCATCCTCCTCACCGGGCCGTGGAAATGGACCCTGGGGAAGAGCAGGGCTGTCACAGTCACACCATACTTTATTTGATAATCATACCTCAAAATTAAAAAACAGTAGCAGATGTGACTTGGTGATTTACAATAAAACTGTACCACAACCATTATCGGTTACAATGACATCACTAAGCTCTCTGCAACAGAAGCTGATCAACTGTACTGTTCACCTTCGAGACAACTGTTTACAAACAGAATGGAGTTGGAAGAAGGATTTTGGCTGATAAATCTCAGATTGTCTCTTCCAATCAGAAATGAGTCAAGACTTGTTGTTGATAAAGTAAAATATCCTCTGCAAACCTCTCCCATTTGTAACTTTGGTTATCTTGAAAAATGAAAATCCTGTGACAATGTGACCCAAGGTGGCACGGTGCAAAACTGAGGAATCTAGGATTGAATCCCATGATGTGGCTTTGAATGTACTAGCTAGTATGAACATTAAAAATGATTACACATTTCAAGGTTTGTGAATACAAGAGGGAAGGGTTTCCATAAGCTATGATGCAAGGACACACAGATTTCCTTATAGCTGAAATAAGTATGTATCTCAACATTATTGCATCATTTATCCATCTTGACATCATCACTTATCCATCTTGTCATAAACGGAATAACTCTGAACCCATCAATCAACAGTCATGAGTTACATCTATGAAGTGGAGGTGATGAAAGTGCTTTTCACATTCATTGCACTTGCTTGTGTGAGCCACCAATGGATGCATTTGTGTGTGTCACAGAGCTAGATGAACAATGTCTGCTATGAATGAATATAGTGCTTATGTCCTATATACAACATTATCAACAGTGATAGTTCACGATTATGTAATTTTTAAAGTAAAATTGATATTTTATACTTATCCTGACTCATGATCTTTTGCTTATCTCCCTTTCCTCTTCGAATGGTAGTGGAACACTTGAATCCCTTGAAGTTCCTGAAGCGGACGTATAAATACACTCACCCATGAGTTACCTCCCTTTGCCCTTTCCCGTGCAAACCAGTCATGTGACGTGCCTTACTTGTCACTCTCTCCTGATTTTCTGCCCATGCACTTGGATCTGCTGTAAAATCGCAAGTGTCTTCAACAGGGAGGTTGGGAGGGCTTCTTCGTCATGAGTCAGGATAAGTATAAAATATCAATTTTACTTAAAAAAGTACATATTTTTCCTTATCCTGACTCATGATCTTTTGCTTATAGAATCCGACGGATAGGTGGTGGGTCAAGCCACTGGATTCAACAGCTGTCCTTAGATACGTCCTGTATCCCCCCATGGGAACTGCGAATGGCATTTCCGTGATCCTATTCTTCCAACTTCCGTTATAACTCGGGGGGGACCACTTCTTACCTTGCTTCAATCTCAGACAAGTTGAATCATGTTGATTCATGTGGCTACAGATAAACTAGTATTCTCCTATTACTAGATGTCTTATAACAACCCATAGATTATGATAAGATCTTTATCATAAATTAGTTGCGATCCGTTCATGTACAGGTAAGATCTTTACCCGTACAGGATCTTTAATCACTCATGCTAGCCTATCTAAGACTGCACATGGACTTTCAAACTAGTACTTATCCTTAGTAAAAGTTATCAACAAGTCAGTATGATAAAGGGTGAGATTTTCCAACTCAGCGCCTTTGAAGAGCCGTTAGTTGCTGTGCTACAATGAGAGGCCCAAATTGGTGAATGCCTGAGACGTCTTCGGTGGCTATGTCTCGGAGGTAGTGGTTGGCAAACACCATGTCTGACTTCCAAAAGCAGCCCTCCATAATTGCTAATATAGAGCAATTTCCGTGCAGAGCTAGTGTTGACGCCAGAGCTCTGACTTCGTGTGGGTTGGAAGCTCTAGGAGGTTCTAGTCCTGCTGCTTTATAGGCTCTCAATATAACGGCTCTCATCCAGAACAATATGGTCGTTCTTGAGACTTCTGCCGAAGTCTCTGTTGATAATGGGATGAATAGGCGCTTGAATTTTCGTCTCCTTGTCTCAGTCTTTTGAAGATATATCTTCAGGGCTCTGACTGGGTACAAGGATAATTCCTCCATATCCTGTGGACCGAGGACTGTAGACAGCGCTGGTACGTGGAACTGTCTATCTGGTTGACCAGGTAGCTGGTTCTTGGCAATACAGTCCCATCTAAGTCCTAGATGAACTGCATTATGTTGCCCTCTGTCGAATATGGTTCGACCGTAGTTCAGTGCATGTATTTCCGATATGCAAGCTGCAGTGGCTAACGCTAGCAGGCACAGTGTCTTCTGTGTAAGCAGTTCGATCGTAATCTGATCTAGTGATTCGTAGACATCACTGGTAAGATGACGCAAAATTACATTTAGATCCCAAGCTGGAGCTCTGAATTTCTTGTGCTGGTCCTCCAGCTTAAAAAAAACTCAGCAGAGCAAGTAATTCTGGTACTTTCGTCAACTTGATGCCTGTTTCCATGGTAATCACTGTACAGATTGCAGCGAGGTATGTAGATAGTGTCGAACCCTTCAGATGTCAGGTCTGTCTAAGATGACACAGATATTCCGCCACTTGAGGGTTAGTGGCTATCATCGCTGTGAAGCCTTTCCGCCTTGCATAAGTCTCAAACTTCAGCCATTTGTCGTCGTATAGGTTGCGAGTCGATCTGCGTAACGCTAGCGTTACTGCTTTGGCTGCCCTGGCGGAATATCCTCTTTTCTTCGTGCACGTTTTGATACGGTCCACACGTGTAACTGGAACATTGTTGGGTTTCTGTGGACTTGCTTGCCGTGCAGATGTATTAGCAGGTTCGGTCAATCTGGTAACTTGATTACTGGGTTTCCGAGATCTTCTATTAGGTCTGGGAACCATGCTCTCGCTGGCCAATAGGGCGTGACCAAAGTCAGTTGTAGCGTCTGAGTCTGTTTGATCTTGAACAGTACTTTTGGTAGTAGTATCGGGGGGTGGAAAAGCGTAGCCGTTTAATCCTTCCCACGACATGCTCAGTGCATCTGTTGCCCAGGCTTGAGGATCTGGAACTGGTGAGACAAACGTCTGTAGTCGTTTGTTGAACCTCGTGGCAAACAGGTCTATGCAAGGGGATCCTATCTCCCTTATGCTCCGAAACGCTTCTGGATGGAGCATCCATTCCGTAGGTGACGGGTGTAGTGGTCTTGAGAGAGCGTCTGCCAGTACGTTCTTGGCTCTGGATATGTGACACGTCTTATCCAGACGTTTGCTTCCTGCGTGATCTGGAACAACTTGAATGTGAGCTGCAACAGGCTTGGAGACCTTGTGGATCCTTGCCGGTTTATGGAGAACGCCACTGTGGAGTTGTCCGTGTGGATCATCAGCATCTTGTTGTACAGCAAGCTCGACCATAGTTGTAAGTCGTTGATCACTGCTTTCATCTCTAGCAGATTGATGTGAAGCTGTTGTTCCGTTTTGGACCACTTTCCCGAAGCCACTTGATCGTTGAGATGCGCACCCCATCCTTGCATCGAGGCATCTGCGTAGAGGTGTGTGTCGAAGGCCGGCTCTTGTAAATAGGTCCCTTCGCAAACATTCGACCTGTGTGTCCACCACAGTAGATACCTCTTGAGGTTTTCCAGGCAAGATAGGGTCGACGCTGTCTAGATGTTTTATCTGGAACCGTTGCAGCAGTTTTAGTTGTAACCTTCCTGTGTGCGTCAAGTCCTGTGCCGAGGTTAGCAGACCGAGTAGCACTTGCCATGTTCGTAGTGTAAACGGAGAGATGACTGCTCAAATTTCCATCAGGTTCACTAGCCATCCTAGTTGCGTGAGCAACTTAATTGAGAAGTTCATCTGCTCTCTGAGTTGATAGGCACTTTGAAGAACCTGTATGCCGTCCTCCGGATAACCGGCACTGCGTAGATCTCGATGTTGTAAATAGGTGCCGATAGGCTTGGTTATTCATATGAATAATCATAGAGCCCACGATATTCCAAGCGGTAGGACGTTCCATTGGAAGTGCATACATCATTCTTCCCCTTATATACGCAGGCGATCTGTGTTGACATCGAAGAGTTGTCTATTTATAGCAAGGCTGGCTCCCGTGTAGCATTGCAGGGGACTTCTATCAGCGACAACTTCCAAAATAAACATCGTTTATCCTGCTGTCAAGGCTAGACATCTATTAGATTTCCATGATGATAACAGGCCATAGTTGTATACTGTTTCCAAGGCTGCCGATGAAGTATTCCCCCCATACCACGGGTTTGTTTACAATGAGAAAACATGCTGGAGCCTGCTCTGTCAGTGGGAGGAGTTGTCTGACGTGGACCAATCAGCTTCAAGCATGACGTCACCAGTGTTGTAAGCTGGTCCCTGGCTCCCTTTGCGCGGGCTAACGGTCGCGATATGCGAGACGGGGCCCAGCTTACCAGTGTTGTAGCCAGTTGGCCTCCATAAAATCTGTGAGTAAAAGCGCGAGTAATCCTACGCCGCTCATATAAGTCTCCTGACTAAGGGTTGCTCCAAGTGTAAATCTTGTTTAGTGATATGAATCACTTATTCTGAGCATGATGAAGGCGGCTGTCGAGACGTATGGCTGTATGGATCTAGTTGATAGGATATAATTCCTAATCCCCAAGCTGAGTGATGAGTGTTAATACAATCATCTATATGTCCGTTCAAGTATACTTGAAGGCGATGTTAACCTTAAGCCCTTTCCAAAGGTCGTCTTAAGGTTCTCCAGTACTTGAGATATCGGTTTCATAAGTGATATCATATTGTAGTCGAAGTCATCAGCGTATATGCAGTACGTCTCTGTTGGGTTGGAGTGAGTGAGTGAACGACAATATCCGCAGGCCATCTGCTACCCAGTATAAGACGTCATCCGTTTCCATCATTGCTTCGTTTATTCAGCCGTATGGTAATAGAGTCGACGTCAACATCCTGCCTGTTGATGTAAGGGTTTGTTAACCCTAGGGTTCGTGAACCCTGTAGATGTCTACGTTGCTGTTATCTGCCTGTAGATCTGAGAGTTCTCGAACCTTGTAGATGTCTGTAGCTTTCTCAAAGCTGTGCGTAGGTTCGAAGGTACTTTGGATATAGGTTCAATCGGAGGGATTGTGACGGAGTCGAAGTCATCGTTACGCATCATATAAGTGTAAGTTCAACCCGTTAGCAATCCATGCTGTAACTTCTGAGTCTGGGAAGACGAAATTCGTTTGCAAGTCCGAAGTCTCCTGATTATGAGAGCTATGTCTCGACGATTCATCCATCTGCGAACCTGTTTCCCTTCGCGAACCCTTATCCTCTCTTCGCGAACCTGTATCTGAGGATTCCTCCCTATGCGAATGTCTATCTTGAGAGTGTTCTGTCCGCGAACCTCTATCTGTGGATACATCTCTTCGCGAACCTCTGTGAGGTGAGCTATCCCTTCGCGAACGTCTGGCTTGAGGTGAGTAGCTCCGCGCGCGAACGTCTGTGCGAGATAAGAGATCTCGACCTAGAGCGGCTAGGTGTAGGAGCAGGATCCTTCGATGTTCACGAATGCTGAGGGTTCGCAAATGTAGATTGTGCGTCATCTCTTCTATCCTCCAAGACGACAGAGTCGTCCGACTGTGGAGACCTTCGCAAAGGTGTACGTTCGTGAACGTAGCCTTCAGGTGTAGATCTGATAGGAGTAGATTCGCGCAGGCCTGTGGGTTTGCGCACGGTGTCGGTATATGAGAGGCTTTTCCTAGCCTTCGATTCCTCCTGGAATCTACGTTCCATCATGGCCATCATCTGGTTGGTGAATTGTGTCATAAATTCACCTGGGTCGAAGTTCTGCATAGGTTGACGCTGCTGCGGTGTAGATGAAGCCTTCGCGAACGCTGATGAGTTATGTGCCTCAACTTCACTCCGAGAAGTAAGAGGTAGTACTTCAACAGCTTTCCTGTTGTGACTGTAGTAGGGGACGATCTCGTAGTAGTAGAGGTCTACAGAGTCGCTGATCTCATAGATACTTCAGGTAGAAGTAATGGGGGTTCGTCAAAAACGTCTAGTTCGTGAGGAGGTACAATCTCTTCGTTGAAGGATTTCTGGTGCGTAGATGACCTAGCACGCCTAGATTTGCCCTCCGATCTGGTAACAGCTGACTTCTTCTGCGTCGTAGAAGAGGATGACGTCTTTTTCTTAGTCTGAGACGGAGTCGACTGAGATGTAGACGATCTCTTCCTGGCCCCCTTACCTGCAGACTGCCCCTGTAACGTACTAAACATAACACCAGTGTTATGAACATCGGCCGTAGCAAGCAACATACGGTTTGAAGGCTGATCTGCAGTTTTATCAATCGTGACTTGAGATCACTTTCTCACCCGATCCATGGCACGTCTATAATTATAAGACTATATTGATTAAATTGATAAATCAATATAATAAGTACAGCGCAAGCTGGAGCAACATGGATTTATGCATGAAGGACTTTGGGGGTGAGGATCAGCCATGGATAACCTGTGCCTGCAAACACTGCAAGATTTCATAAAATGTAAACAAAGTTACATAACAATGAAAAACACAACTCAAATGTAATTAATTTTTTCAAATACTACATAAGTAGTTATAGTCAAATCCATATACATCGTAATTTTGAAGAATAGGATCTAAATATAAAGGATATAATGCCGTATACGGGACTCCAGTGCTTGCCCAACCATCCGCTTGGGCGAAAAGGGAGAGAGTGACAAGTAAGGCACGTCACATGACTGGTTTGCGGGGAAAAGGGCAAAGAGATGTAACTCGTGGGTGAGTGTATTTATACATCCGCTTCAGGAACTTCAAGGGATTCAAGTGTTCCATGAGTCAGGATAAGGAAAAATTGTGTATTTAAGTACATCTGTATAAGTTTTATTCTTAACCACATCTGAATATATGTGCATGAGATAACAATAGATTGACAGACAGTACATGACAGTATGGATTAGGGGTGTAACGATGCATCATGTATCTTAGACAAACAAAAGATAAACATTCTATGTCATAAGTATTCAAATTTTCGCAGTTGAGTATATTTTGATACAGGACTGCCTTTTAAGAGGACTTCCTACTGCAACCTGGGGGGCGTGGTGGGCGAGTTGTCTAAGGCTAGTGATGTGCTGGGATCGAGCCCACCTGTGACCGAGTGTAGAAACCTTGGAGTCAACTTTGTGTGCAGACTCTTTCAGTGTTGTCACAACCCCTAGTGTACAGTACACAACCCTGTGCACTTTAAAAAAAAACACATATCTGTTGGTAAATGACAAGATGGTGGCCACATGAATACGTGCAAACACCTAGTTGCAGGTACAGCAACGTGCAGTAAACTTGGACAAGGTACTGTGACTATGTGTCCCAGTCCATCAAGCTGTGAATGGGTACCCTGAAAGGATGGGAAAGTCACATTAACTTGGTGTGTCTATTGGCTGCACGAGTTGTATGATACCCAGGGAGTTGAGATTGAAAAATATGTGCCGTTGAGATTGACATCCAGTGATCGAGGGAAAAAACAAAGGGCTTTGAGCATGCACATGGGATGGACTATAGCACTATATAAATACCCGTATGATAGTAATAATAATAATAACCTACCAGTCCCAGGATGCCGTTCTCACTCTGCAGGTTGACGTTGATACCAGGGCGGATGAAGTTGCTGGCCAACATCGGCATTCCAATACCGAGGTTCACTGACAAGAGTTAAGTAACATTTTCCATATTTACATGTACCATGCATTGTACTCTGACAATAAGCTTGTCAAGCAGTCTTTATATCACTGGGAAGGATACCATACATGCCATCAAGGAACTCCACAGCAGCTCTCTTTATTATTCTCTCCCTCATCAGAGCACCGGCATCATGAGATTCATCTCCAGATTTTTCCTTCGTCAGACGCAACCTCTGCAATACGGTAATAGCTAGAAGTATTAGGTGCTGACACATCTGCCTGACAATGTGCTAAAGATATCTTTGGCCAAAAAGAAAATCCCTAGTTTCAATGTTAGCATCAGCCTGTGACTACTGGCAAAACAAAGCTGCTTTCAAACACAACAGTAGTCTAGAGCACACTCATCTCAGCCTAGGATGATAATGTCTTGCTTGTAATACTTTGCAAATATGGCACGATCAGACTCTTTATACAACATAAAGTAAAAGTTTGTTCTCATGTTCTGCAGTAAAGAGTGTCAATAATCGATGGAGAAGTTCTGCATATCTTCAATGTGTGGTGTGCCATAGCAATACCCTCCAATTAAAAATTAAACCAGGATAAAATAAAAATATATGAAGCTACACTGTGAATGTATTGAAGGTGTTGTTTCATACACAAACACAAGTTCCTAAAATATTCCTGTCACAAAAAGTTGTCATAAATATTCTCTTGATGTGACTATTTGATTTATGATGAAATTGCTTTGTGTCCATTGTCTTGAACAAATCTACACATAGTGGTTTGATAAACACTGTTGTGCCAGTGATGTTGTCACAGACAAGATACATACTTGGGGCGAGCACACCTGGAGAAACACCCTAACCACTGTGACTGACCACACAGCTGATAACAACATCAAGCACTTTACTCAGACCAGGCTGATCTTAATATATGAATGTACATCAGTGTTTCCATGTTATTTGAATTAAAATGGAAAAGGCTGTGTCATTGTGATACTGCAATAGTACCCTCAACACATGTACTGTATAGGGCATCCAAACGGTTTCCAACAACTTGAGATAACCTACATATCTGTTTGGTCACCTGAACCAACACACAATGATGAAACTGATGACTTAGCTACCTGTGTGATGATAAGTTTTGGTCACACAAATAAATCTTTTATTATATTCCTTATTTTGTTTTGTGCTGTATCATAATGTGTGTTTAATATGATGAGACCACCAAGAAGTACATTTGAACACATTGAATTACTTGACTATGCACAATTCTGGACAGAATTAAACTGAACCCACAAGGATTTAACACCTGGGTCAAACCAGAAGTAAACTGGATGTCAGCACAGTGTATAAAACATAGCCCATCCCACCATTCTTGACAGTCTATTTTTGTGAAGGAGGTTTATTAAATAAGTACGGCCATCCTTTGGTCGAGGGAAATATTTGAAAAAATAAACTTAAACTTCGTCTTATCTATCATTTTTGTCATTGTTTTAGTTTTTGGGACTGGCTGTATTTGTTCAGGACTGGTCACTTTTTTGGACAGCCAGGCCATATTTCAAAACTATTTTCTACACTGTGTCAGCATGATACTAGAGTCATGTGATGGTATATGAACCATGCTGCAGATGTGGTGCCTTGCTCAGTACAAGGGGGAGATAAGCAACTGTGTTTTTCTTTAAGATTGTAACAGCACATACAAGTAATGCTAATTTGTGTGGTGGTGGAGGGCGAGCCTGTCAGGTGATGCATTATCTTGTCATGATAAGATTCAGTTTGCCGCCCTACCAGAGTGCATTGTGAACCTATAATCTGTGTACATACCCTATCAAAGTGTTACCGAGATATTTCCTGGCATATCCATATCTATTGAAACAAAATGCTACATCATAAATGGCTTTAACAAAGAACTACAATGTTAAGAATGTTCAGGCCAGTATGCAAAAACCAACATGATATGAAAAAAAATGTGAGAGTTAAATATATGTGAAAATATTATTCATTACAGAGTGTTTTGAAAGGGTGTACAGGACTGCAAGACCCTTGCAAATTCCATATTTCCTGAGGCGCAGAACAAATTTATTACCCTTAAGATCTCTCTATTTAGTTTATCTTTAAAAACCATATATTCAATAGAAAATAACAAAAAACGACAATAAACTTTATATTGTACGTTAAATCAAATAGTCACCAGTCACATAAAGGGAAATAACTTGTGATGGCTTAGTTTATGATAATGATCAAACTTGTGGTTTCACCGACAAATCTGCCTACATGGTTTCGTCTGCTTTGACTATTGACCAATCAGAATTCGACAAATTTATCTTAAGGGTAATAATGAGTGTAGAAAAGAATAAAGGAACACATGAAAGTACAAGTGTTCCTTTATTTGTTTCCAGAATTTCACTCACAGTGCAATACATACCTTGTGAAGAAACCTGGAAAAGAATAAAGGAACACTTGTACTTTCATGTGTTCCCTGATTCGTTTCCATGAGTATATAAGTCTGTTCTAATTTTTCTGACACTTGGTATATACCGGTTAGTGTATGTGTAGCAGGGTGGTGGCTATACCTCTGACTGAGTTATGACCACTTAAGTGCCACCCTCTCATAATCCCCCACAGCCTTATAATAAACATCTATATATATACACATTATCATCCACATTATCATCATTTCATGCTGTTTTCATTATATGTTGTCCTTGTCTGCAGTTGAATGTCAGCCCACTAACATCTTCAGTCTTCAATACCCTTAGCAGCCTCTGAGTTCTCCAGCTTCACCTTGACTTCCCCTTCTCTATTTTTAGACACTTTCACCACCTAATGTTATTGTCCAGCATCTGACTTCCTTTGACACTTGTCAGATGCTACCTGTATTCTGATTGGCCTTTTGGTCCCCCTCTATGAACTTCCTTTCTCACCTGCCCTCCTCATGCATTCTGCATGAACTCTTATAGGAGGGAGGTTCTCTCTTTTCAGGTGAGAAAGATTTCAATATTCTTATCTTTCTGTACTTTGTTCTGTAAACAAATACTATTCATTAAAGGGTATCTCACAACTTCATAATTGTAAAACATATTTAAATACAATATTATTTCATACATTTATCTAAATATTTACCAGGTACTGCATATTTTGTAACTCTGACTGAGCACATGGTCTTCAACCATGTGCTTCAGCCATTTAAACTATTTGGCTTAAATTATACAATTCTGCATGAACTCTTATAGGAGAGAGCCTCTCTCTTTTCAGCCTTCCTCCCAACTTTGAACCCAAATAAACTTCATCCTTCATCGAGAACTGCTCTTGTTATGACTAGCAGCCCAGTGACTGGACATTACACACCACGCCCGGCTACATATGCAAAAAGACGGCATATAGCTACTGCACAGTAGAAAATTGTAAGTATCACATGAAGAAAACTGTTTAGGATTTCCAAGCTGGGATAAGTAAATGAAGCTGTTTATTGCATCGGGGACGGTGGGGTAGCCTAATGGTTAAAGCGTTGGCTCGTCATGCCGAAGACCCGGGTTCGAATCCCCACATGGGTACAATGTGTGAAGCCCATTTCTGGTGTCCCCAGCCGTGATGTTGCTGGAATATTGCTAAAGGCGGCGTAAAACCAAACTCAGTCAGTCAGTCAGTTTATTGCATCAGTTATCACCACCTTCTTTGTAGTGCATCTGTGATTTCCATTCATGTTTTAACTGTGTCAGAGCAATTGGGACACTAAACAGCAGGTGGAGGTAATCAGTGTCATCAGCAATAACAGAGGCCCAGCTACACAGACTGAGAAATGTACTAAGGTAGAACCTTACACTGTGCTGGAACACTGGCAATGCAAGGGTGTGGAAATGCCCTATTTTCAATCAAAACTAGGTGTTATTGAACTCATCCCATTAATATGAACATTTCCATATTCCCTCTTATCTAACTGTACGCGCCTTTCGCTACAAATGTAAGCAATCATGATTCTTTGCAACAGTCAGGCACAAGAACAGCCAATTTCAATTTTGGAGGACATTTAATATAAGTGCCATCACCCCCTCTAATGTTAATGCAGATTTATGCTCATCTAAAAAATTACCCAAATTGATATGTAAATTCCGGAAATCCATGAATTCCCAGAACATTCTCATGCCTGAACTGTATATCATTCATTATACATGGAGTGACTAATTACTTCAGTATAAACTCTTCTCACAAGGTCAGTTGACTTAGGGCATTTCACTGGTCTGAGAGGCAGTTGTGTCAGCTGGCTCAATTTTCTTGGTGGTCTGTAATCCCTGATGATGCAATCATGATGTTAATTGCAATCTGACATATCCAGTGCCAATAAACAGTTCTGCAGAGGTTGATACTCGAAGCACACACTGATAGAATTACAGGAAAATTTCTAGCCTCTTAAAATATTGCTGTAGATACGACACATTATGGTTCATTCTATCACATGAGTGGTTGGATGTGATTTCAAAGGAGCAGAGCAGTAATTATTAGACATTCTAGGATTTTGTGTAACTGTACTTTAATCTGAGTGAGTGAGTGAGTATGGCTTAAGCAATATCCCTGCAATATGACAGCAGAGGACACCAGAAATGGGCTTCACACATTGTACACATATGGAAATGGATCCCAAGTCTTCAGTATGATGGGCGAACACTTTAACTAACAGGCTACCCAACTGTATTATTACTATGTCCGTTTTTATGTCAACTTGGGTAATATCAGTAACAACACTGAAGATTCCTTCGGTTTTCTAATCCCAAACAGGCATTCATTGTGTATTCAGAGTGACAAGATCACAAGTCATCAAACCACATTTCTAGTAGTTCAGAATCACAAGATAGATAAGCATGTCAAACAAGTGTACATGTTAGCCAGTGATAACAGTTTTTTAAGTTGCAATCACTGCCGTTTGTATGCAACAGTCTCAGGTCACAGGAAAACCAGGTTAACATCACATCTGCCATGAGTCAACTCAAAAATTACTCAATTTCAAAAGTTTGATTTTCAAAGAATTTCAAGAAAATGTAATTTTTAGAGTAAAATTGATATTTTATACTTATCCTGACTCATGCTCTTTTGCTTGTCTTCTTCTTCTTGCGAACATAGTGGAACACTTGTATCTCCTTATTTGAAGCTCCCTTCAAAATAAAATCACTAATTGGTACTCACCACGAGTTGCTCCCCTTTGTCTCCCCTGGCGGAAAAGGTGTCGCCACCCTCTG